ACTCCAGGTTTTTTATAAACTTCAGGAGAGGACGGTTTGCAAAGAAAGAGGCATATAAATTCCCCCCTTTGTCTCAGGCTGGGGGACCCATGGATACTGACCTTGGGAAGTGCCCTCATTCAGAGTATTGACCTAGAAGGGCCACAGGGAAGGGCTGGCCCTCTGAAAGTGGTTTTGGAATTTTCTCTAAAAGAAATTGAAATCTAAAATTTCAAAAGAGGTCTTCCTTGGTACAGAAAATGAAGTCTGAGCAAGTGACACTTAGACTGAGTTAAGGGAAAAACTTGCTCCACTCTCTGGAGTTGTAAGGACAGTCTGGGTAAGAATGTGGGGCTTAGAGAATCCCCTGCCCCCACAGAACGGTGGAGACTGATAGTCACATGACAGTCCATCACAGAAGGCACACATTGTGGGGTCCTGCCTTGGTTACCCATCAGGCATTGGTTCCTGGAGCCTGCAAATGCCAAAAAACATTCATGATCAGGTTGTGGAGTTGGCCCCGTGGACCCCACAGATATGACAAGCTGATAGTCCATATCCATACTCTGTACTTTGATGCACATCAAAACTGCACAGCCAGGCTGGGCCTGGTGGCTCATGCCCGTAGTCCCAGCACTCTGGGGGACTGAGGCAGGTGGATTGGTTGAGCTCAGGAGTTCAAGACTAGCCTAAGCAAGAGGGAGACCCCATCTCTATTTAACATGGAAAAACTAGCTTGAAATAGTGATGGGCACCTGTAGTCCCAGCTACTCAGGAGGCTGAGACAAGAGGATTGCTCAAGCCTAAGAGTTTGAGGGTGCTATGAGCTATGATGATGCCGTGGTACTCTACCCTTGGTGACAGAGTGAGAGCCTGTGGAAAGAAAGAAAGAGAGAGAGAGAGAGAAACAAACAAACTTCACATACAGAGAGATGATGACTGTGCTTATTGAAAAACATCTGTGTATAAGTGGACCTGTGCCTTCCCTCTTTCCTTTCTTGACAGATTTTCACTATGTTGCCTTCGGTAGAGTGCCGTAGCATCACAGCTCACAGCAACCTCAGACTCTTGGGCTTAAGCGATTCTCTTGCCTCAGCCTCCCAAGTAGCTGGGACTACAGGTGCCTGCCACAACGCCTGGCTATTTGTTAGTTGTAGTTGTCCTTGTTTGCCAGGCCCGGGCTGGGTTCGAACCTGCCAGCTCTGGTGTATGTGACCGGCGCCCTAACCACTGAGCTACAGGCGCCGAGCCAGGACCTGTGCATTTCAAACCCCTCTTGTTCAAGGACCAGCTGTACGTTTAGGTGGGAAAGTGATCAGCCTGGTTCAGTCTTGGTAAGCAGCTCCTTACCAACAGTCTCGTGTGCTCCAAGCTGCCCCTACTCCAGTGGTCACAGCACCCACACTGTCTACCTGGTGTCTCCTTGGGACTTAGTTCACTGAGGAGAAATCAACAATTTGCTCCCTTCCCAAGAAG